ACTCTTATCTTAACCATTGAACCATGTCTCCAGCCACCATATCTCCATTTGTTTTAAATAAAAAGTTACTACGCCTGCTTTTTATTGAAGTATAACATCTTTAATAAAGTATATATTCTAAATTATTATAGAACCCCACAAAATCTTTCTTGACGCTCTTTTTCATTTGTACCCTTCTCCTACCTTTCCCTGAACCCTAATGTTAATTGGTACCCTAGCATCTAATGGCTTACATTAGCTGGGGCTGATTTAGAGTTAAATAAATGGAATCATAACAGGATGTGCACTTGTTTTTCTGATTGCTTTCAGTCGGCATTATGTTTGTGACAGGTCATCATTTTGATTCATGTGCTTATACATTATTTCTTCCTACAATTGGATAGCATTCTGTGGTCCGTTAATACACAAGGGTCTTTAGTTTGCTACTTTAGAGAAATAGTAAGCTACTGCATAATTCTAAATAGAATTTGTTTTTCTCTCTAGGCATAAAGCATGAGTATCAAGCAAATGGACCAGAAGACCTCAATCGGACTAGTATTGCAGAAAAGCTTGGTGGCTCCTTAATCGTAGCTTTTGAAGGATCCCCTATTTAGATCATCAGCCAGTGCCACAATTGAAAGCTTCCATGTTTAACACTATCCTTTCACTATAGAAGTAAAGCAAATATATTAGGCCAGGATCTCACTGAGGGGAATTTGTCTTGTCATCTTTATAGTAAACTAAAAATTCTATAGATGTGTGCAAACACCAACACCTACATAAATCTAGCCTCTAAAGTTTCATTGGTGTGGAATTAAATTCTTATTGGCCAAATGCCTATTTTCATGAAGTGACTTACAAAGATTTTGTTGAGCTCAGGATTTTAATAACACAGTTCACAAAACAGTACAAGGCAATGTGAAGCGAACTCTAAATCTTGACTAACCTCAGCAGTTACTTTTGTTTCCTTTGCTTAGAAAACTGATTGTAATCTATGTATAATTTTCATCCAAATTCTCTATTTTTCCTTGACTTAAACAAAATAATGAGGTATAATTTTCTTTAGTGTGTACAACACTAATATACACTAACAGCAGTAACTAAGCCAGGCAGTCTTCAGTCATCAGATACATCACGAGACTGCTTCAGAACTGTGTCTGCTTAGAATCACACTGACCTTGCAGCACACCATCCAGAGCACAGTGTGGAATGCAGGAAGCAGCCCTGTACCTGCAGCAAGAGGCTCCCTGGGCTGGGAAACTGCTTACAGTGACTTTGTGTCTTAGAAATCATGGTATATCCTCAGGGGAATGTTCAGTGTCTTGTAACAACTAATTATATTGCAAATTAGGGCTTCATTGTAATCTACTTCATTAATGAAAAATGATAAAGCAGTGTATTTAAAAAAGTCAGGGTGCTGTCAATCTTTAATTTCTCCTTCGGAACCCTGCTGCATCTGGTATGGTAGGATGTGGAACAGTGTTGAGTGTTTCCTCTGGGGCCTGGGAGGACACAAATCCCTAGAGCAGTTTACCAGCTGTGTGGGAAACGGGAACAAGTACCACGGATGGCACTCACAGGGGTCTGCCTAACGACACTTGGAAGTGATAACATCACAGGCACGATACCACACAGTGTAGATGCACAAGCAGCTCAACTTAGAAGTAGCAGTGCTGGCTTTATGTAATAAAGGAAGCATTTGTAACTTACCTTTTGTGTGGTTATTTGTCTGAATCGGAGATAAAGAACTTGTCTTCTGCATGTTTTCTTATTGCTGTGATAAAGGTTATGTCCAAAAGCAACTTGAGGAAGAGGGGTATACTTTTATTTCATTTTACTGCTCCCAGAACCCATCACTGAGGGAAGTCAGCACACAAACTCAGACATGGAGGAATGCTGCTTACTGGCTTGCTTAGTTTGTTTTCTTACCCTAAGACCATAAACTCAGGGGTGGTGCTGCCCACAGTGGGCTGGACCCTTCTAAATCAATTAAGACAGTGCCCCTAAAGACTTGCCTATATATAGGGCAATCTAATAGGGGTATTTTCTTAGTTGAGGTTCCCTCTTCTCAGATAACCCCAGCTTTTGTCAAGTTGACACCAAACAAGCTAGCATACTTTCCCTATGCAGTGAGTCCTCCAGGTTTTGGCATTCCTGACTAGGAGGAGGAGGTCACAGCTCACTCCTCTGCTTAAATGAGAATGCAACTGTAGAAGTTGGACATCTTTTTCTTATTCCATATGTCTATCTGAAGGAAGCAAAGTGGTAATTGTACTTTCATCAGACTCCCTTTAAAAGTTGGCTGCTTGTCATTCATCCTGAATTTCTATGCAGCCATTGTAGTGGGCCCCATAGTCCATGAGGTCAAGAACAGCCCGCGGATGGTCCAGGTATTGTCTGGGGCTTTTTAGAACTGTTTGTACTTGTGAAGTGTGACTGCTGCCATCACCACAACTCTGTGCTTCAGAAGTTTGGGCACACAGGTTTAAGCAGTCTGTAAGTAAACATCTCCAGAAATGTTAATGGTTCCTGGAAACTGTTTGTCTCATCTAGGTGGCTTTTGGGAAATTTCAGGGGACACCTAGTCTGGGCCCCAAGTTGTGCTAACAAGTATTTCATTTCAGTTCTGCTGTAGTAGTTCAGGTTTACATGTTTGCTGACATTGGTCAAGGAAATGCTATTTGTAGAAGACATTTCCACTCTCAAGGGCTAACATACTAAAATGTCTGGTCACTGTGAAAGGTGCTCATGAGGCCAGTGCTATGAAGTTTGTTACTTCCGAGATTATTAGTCTCGGGAAAACAGCTGTGACTTGGATAGTTGAGTCCGTCCTGGTCTTCCTACAAAGCTGCCTAGGCCCTTGGCAGCTTCATTCCTGCAGCCCACTGGAGAATGAACCTGCCCAAAGGTTTGGAGTCCTTTTGAAATAACAAGGTTCGGGCTGCCACTGGAAGAAGGGATACTAGGTGCATGACACTGAATGGTCAGGGGAACAAGGGTTCCTGAAGAGGCTTCAGTCACACAGTGGAGCAACTGTTCTGCTGAACAGTGCAACTGGAAAGCCTCTGGGCAGCCCTTCAGTAGCCAGCACAGAGGCAAAGCAGTTCACCTAACTGCACAGAAGCTATGACTCTAGCCATGCTGTCCCTGCTACTGTGGTGAGTTCCCGTTCTTTTAGCCCTTGGGATTAAAAGGTTGGGTTTTTAGTAGATGAGCTATGAGAGGGGTGGGAAAACTACCTCCTTTGGCCTCAGAACTCGTTAGATCCAAACCTGAAGAGAGCTCAGAGAGAAGGCGTTTGTGGAGGGTGTGTTAGCCTCCTGCCCACCAGGGTCTTTGCTAAGGTGGCCTATTGTTCTGTCCTTCTGCACAGCTTCTGCAGGCCAGCGTCCTGCCTGTGGACCACACTCTCAATGCGAGTCGTGAAAGATGAGAACATGCTTGTCACAGTAGTGGTCTGTGCAGTACTGCTTCCAGCTCGGAGGTAGAGGCCACCACGGACATCTCTGGTGGCAAGGTGGGATCTTCCTAAAAGGAAGCATTTGGGCAGCTCTGGTACTGACAGAAATGTGGCACCCCAGGAGAGCAGTATCTCGAGAGAGGATACCCGTTTTCCCACCTCCTCGGCCAAGTGACTGGAAGCCTGAACTGCTTAAGCATTTAGTCTCGGGGGCCAGGGAGCAGTGACTGACCAGGCTTCTGTGGTGGTTACCATGTTGAACCTCTTTCACGTTCTGCAAAAGGCCACTGCTAGTCTAGTGTCTGGGTTGTTCTTCTCTGCTCCAGAGTCCTATGGTTAGAACCTTGTTTAGGAACAGCTGGGCAGCTGAAGCGAGATCCAGCACACTGCTGCTACCGTTCTCTGCCTGACAAACTCAGGCTCCCTCTGCTGGCCTGGGAGGTGGTGCTACTGGGCCGGTTTGGAGGACTGATGGGCTTTTTGAGCCAGAGATACTGTGGTGTCCACAAGCTACCCAGGCCAGCTCCCAAACAGGCCTCACCGTGCACCATCACTGGCTTATCTTCCCACCCTCTCCAAGGGGAAGATGGTTCCCACTGGTGACAGTAAGCAAAAGCCAGGGACTACAAACCCAGCTTGGGTAACTCCAGGATCTTGCCACCTTTCCTCAGTTCCTCTTTCCTTTCAAAATGGGTGTCCTAGTGCATGCCTTTAAATCCCAGCACTCAGGAGACAGAGGCGTGAGGATCTCTGAGTTCAAGGCCAGCATGGTTCCAGGACTGTTACACAGAGAGACCCAGTCCTGTGCCATCAGAGAGCATCTTCCTAAGCACGGGGGTTGTTAGCACTCTCCCCCGACTCCTGCGTCTTCAGAGGAAATCTCCCTAAGTATGTGGGCCGTTAGTTCCAGGTCTTCTCCCATTACTAACCCATCTGGGCTTCATGAAATTTATTCCCGTAAGGTTCAGTTCCCCTCAGACTACTCGAAGCAGTAATTCTCAACTTGTGAGTTGTGATCCTTTCACAGGAGTCTCCTGAAACCACGAGAAAACCTATTTCCATTACGACTCCTAACAGTAGCAAAATTACAGTTATGAAGTAGCAATGAAAGTAATTTTATAGCTGGAGTCACCACATGATTGTGTTAAAGGGTTGCAGCATTAGGAAGGTTGAGAACCACTGACTAGAGTTCCTGTGAGTCATCCATAGCTGGACCCATGCATGTATTGATTCTCCTGTTACTTCTTCCTATTCGGTCTCCCAGTGGGAAACCAAAGTCTTGGGTTTCGGTGGCCCCTCTCCCCCATGGCCTCTGAGGGGTTCATAACAGCTGTAATTGTTCCTTGCTGACAGTCTCCTTCTGTCAAGCACTGCCCAGCCACATGACCTTAATACCGTCTCAGCCTTACCCTCTCCCCCACAGCTGAGCGCCGTCTGTCAGGACAGCCCTCCAGGACCGTCTTGTTCATCAACACCGACACATGCCATGCTTTGGTGGCTCATAGGGGCTCGGCCGTGTGGTCTCAGGTGTGTAGTGTCAGAAGATCAGACAAGACCCCAGTGCCGGGCAACACGTTGGTTTTAATGGCATTGACATCCAGGCAGTCACATGTCAGTTCTGCTTGGCAACTTCCAGGGGTGAGGGCTGCAGCTTTGCTGGGCTGGGCTGAAGCCCTCCAGTCTGCTCAGCAGCCTCTGAGAACTCACCACCTGGCCTGTTGCTCCCCGACCCGGCCCCACTGAGAAATACAGACAATTGCACTGACTGACATAAGTCCCGAGCATTCTGGACTCCCAGCACACCCCGGTCTGTCAGCGTTGATGAGGGCTTTGGCGTCTGCTCGAGGTGGTCCAGGGCTGCTCCCGGGAATAGTGTTTATCAAATGTGACAAAAGTTCTTTTACAGACTGGGGGTCTGGAAGATTTATTTCTGTGGTTCTGAGACTTGTCTCCAATGGCTTCACTGGAAGTTGGGCCTGGATAACGCTGTGTTGGTTGGTTTATTTGTAAGGAATGTGTAAGGCATTTTGGTAAGTTGAACAGTTTGCCGAGGAGACTCAGACAGAGGTTCCCTCCTTTGAGCTGCTACCATTCTCCTGCAAACAAAGTGGAGATATGAAGGAAAGGCCAAGTCAGGAGTCAAGGCACCCCCTCTTGTCCCATGCCCAGGACCCTCAAAGCTTGTCCTGGGGCAGTTCCACAGACACCTCCAGACCTTCAGAGAGGCCCAGAGCTGACTCTAGGGGCTGGGGGGTGCATGCAGAGGGACTGATGGGACCCTATGACGAGAGGAAGGTGAGGTGAGTGTGGCTGAGAGTCTGTGGTCCTGCCCCAAGAGGCTCACACAGGCCATGGAGTGAAGACAAGTTAGCAGTGCAGGTGTCGACTCCCTGGGGCCCTAAACAGCATGGACCAAACCTCTGGAGGTATGGAGGCTAGCCCTGCAGTCCAACCTGCACCAAGTACTTACTGCTTTTTCCAACTGTTCTTGCAACTTCTTCACTGTGTCCCTCTCTTTTGTTAGCTGCCCCTGGGTGGTCTTCAAAAGTTCTTGAAGCTTGGTGGCGGCACGCCCCAGGTCACTTGTTAACCTCTTCTCTTTTTCTAGTCTCTCCTGTGGGCCAGAGGGTTGAGAGAAGTCAGGCCCCATGTGATATACCGGAAGAAGAGAGCTATGAGGACCTCCAAGAGCACAAGGCAGGTATCTGGTTATTCAGGCAGACAGTGCTGGCTGGGAGGAAAGCCTTTAATGACAATGCTGCCTGTGTCCTGCCAACTTCAGCTGCTGCCAGGACAGTTTCCTGCCCAGTGTGAAGGCCACTACATGTGTACCTAAAACATGACTTCAAGCTGTATAGAGCTTACATTTAATTGACAACTAACTTGTGACTGAGACGTGACTTAGTGCTGTCAAGGGCCCTCCACTAGGTGTGGCCAGGGAAGCCAGTGCCTGGGTGGTTCTCTGGACTGGGCCCTGTCTAAGGCCATGAATGACTGTGGTGATTTGAGTAAGAATGACCGACCTCCCTAGGCTCATATGAGACTGCTTAGTCATAAGAAAGTAGCACTTTTGAGAAGGATTAAGAGGTGTGGCTTATTGGAGCAGGTGTGGCTTTGGAGGAAATGTGTCTCAGGTGAGAACTGAGGTGTCAAAAGCCCATGCAAAGCCCACTTCTTTCTGGGCCTGGGGATTAGGATGTAGCCCTCAGCTACTGTTTCAAAACCACGTGTGCTGCTATAATAATGGAATAAACCTTGGAAACCATAAACAAGTCCTCAATTAAATTCTTACTTTTTTTGTTTTGTTTCTCAAGACAGGGTTTCTCCATGTAGCATTTCTGGTTGTCCTGAACTCACTTTGTAGCCCAGGCTGGTCTCAAACTCATAAGAGATCTGCCTGCCTCTGCCTCCTAAGGACTGGAATTAAAGGCGTGTGCCACCACCGTCCAGCTAAATATTTAATTTTATAAGAGTTGTTTTGGTCATGGTGTCTCTTCACAATAGAACAGTGACTAAGACCAAAGCCTTGAAACCTACAAGTCCAACCAGTACCCCAGTTCATCCTCTACCTTCAGCTGTGTGACCTCTTCTACTCCTGAAGACTCCAGGGGGCCAGCAGCGCGGAGCTTCTCCAGCTCTTCCTGTAACCGATAGGCTGTGCTCTGAGCCTTGTCAGAGAGGAGAAAGGTCTGAGTCAGAGGCCTAGTAGGTCAAACCTGGTTAAATTCACCTAGGGGTTGGGGTGGAGGGCAACCCCAGCCAAAGAAGGCAATAGCTCAGGTTAATCCACATGGCTGTATCTACATGGGCAAGAAGCTTGGACATAATCTACAAGCACCCAAGCCTTCAGGATCCCCCAAAGATGTGGATACCCACAATGTTCCTCGGGTAGACTCAGTACAAGTGCCCACTCACTGGGGCCCAAGAGCTTCTTAGTCCAGGTGCCGCCTGGTAGTTAAGCTGGGAAGCCCTGAAAGCATGTAGGGACTGAGGGCCACTTGGCAGGGGCTAACCTCTTCAAACTCAGCTGTGAGCTTCTGCCGCCGTGTTTGCTCATCCTCCAGGATGGCCTCTGTCTGCTCCAGCTGTGTTTTCAGCTGTATGGAGACACAACAAATGTGACTGCAGTCTGGGGACAGACCCAAACTGAAGCTCCACCTTCTAGCTGCTTCTAGGACTCCTTGGGGCCTTTCCCTGCCCTGGGGAGTCACACTTAGCACTTTCCTCCTGGGGAAACAGTGCCTCAGACTCAAGAGAGAAGCAGAGAAGTTGAAGAGAAGTAGGGAAACATTACCATTCCAGGAGCCTTTCACAGGACTCACAGGATAGGAAAGACCCCAAAGCCATGAGTTTGATCCCAGGTTCGCAATGGGAGCCCAACAACAGATCCCTGCCTCTGGCCAACTGTTCTTGGCAGCTGTTCCTTTGGTCAAAACACTAGAAGATATCCTGCTAGCAATGACCCAGGAAATGGCCACAGCTAAAGGCGAATCCCCTTTGTGCTACAGACCCAAACCCAAGCTGCAGGCCTGTCCAGGAGCCCCTGGTGTTATGAGGACTAAAGGCCCTGGTTACCTGCTCTTGACTCTACCATACGTTCTGGGTACCTCTCATCCAGACCAAGCAGGGTAGAGAGGGTGGCTAGCAGTGGGGATTGGAAACACCTACTATGCACAGTTCAGTCAGCACAGAGGCTGCCCACCCTAAGTACCACCTGGGGAGTTAGGGACACATCTTAGGACAGCTCATCACCCTAACCTTCATAGGGTCCTGCTCGGCTGGAGGGACAGCTGGAGACCCAGCCACGTCACCATCCTCTACGTGGCTCTTCATGTCACTCAACTGCTGCCTGACCTGAAACAGGGAGGGGTGCATTTGTGCAAATAAACAGCTAAAGGCATGCAGGTACACATGTATACACACACACACACACACACAGAGAGAGAGAGAGAGAGAGAGAGAGAGAGAGAGAGAGAGAGAGAACGAGAACACCCTTGTGGAGGAGGGATAGGCCAGAACCACGCATTCCACTCTGAGCCAACAAGCCTCCAGGCCAATAAGAGCCATGGTGCTTATTGAGGTCAGCTGGTGCCACCCTCCAGCCCCTGGAGTAAAGTGACTTTAGTGGATGTAGACCTCACAAAGCCAAGGAGTCTTCATGGAACAGACGGAGCTGACAACATGCCACACTTTGTAGTTTAATGATGTAGTCTCCTGTTCATGGCCTTTGGGGGGGCTCAGAAAAGATGGTATGTAATGCCTTGTAATGCCTCATTCCTCTGAGTTCTGTTGCTGGGGCCAAGATGTACAATATAGAGGAGGCCTGGAGGTCACTAACCTCTCTAGGCCTCCCATCTGAAAGGTGTTAGGGCCACACAGTTACCTGAGAAAGGTCCTAGTCAGAAGGCCTGTGGATAGAACTCAAGTACAAGTTCTTTAGGAAATATGGGCAGCCTCGGGCTCCACTTAAGTTTTACTTGGAAGGCCACCCCAAGTCTTCCTTTCCAAAAGTCCCAACAGGCAGAAACCAAAGGGCACAGTTAAAAGATAACAAGAACCCCCGGCAGGCATACTCTGTGTGCATATACTGCCTGGGTGTGGTATGGGGTAGAGGCCTCTCACCCAGACTCAACCTAGCAAATGGCTGAGAAAAAGCTTTAGATTCATTCAGGTAACTTGGCCTAGACAATAACCACTTCTGGTGTGGTAGTCTGAGCAAGGCCAAAGAATGGGATCCAGTAAGCTAGGCGCCCATGATGGACTTAGAAGACAGCGTGGAGGATGCTAGCCTAACATACCAGACTTGGTCTCTTGGCCAGAGCTCCCCATGTTCCATCTCCAAATTTCAGAAGCTGACAGCTACTTCAAGGTTTTCAAAATGACTGTGCAGATCCAACAGACCACAGCTCTGGCTGAGTGGGCTGCTGCCAATAGCCAGAGCTTGGGGGTGGGGTGGGGGAGGTAGCCCAGTGAAGAAGGAGCTCAACTGACCAAGAGGCTAGGGCATGCAATCAGGCACTGCAGCTGCAAACCGGGAAAACGGAATGGCCTCCAAGGCACAGTGCAGCCCCTCACATCTCTGCAGGATTATCTGCTTCTAGTGCCTGACAGAGGGCCAGAGGGGGCAGGCTGCCCTGTGTAACTGTAGTGGCAGGGCCTGAGCCACCACTGAAGCAGGAAGACCTACAGAAAGCAAAGGCGTGCCACCAAAAGGCACCAAGGGACCCTTTGTGATGTCCTGGACTGGGCTGGTGACGAGACAGGCTAACAGGGCTGTCGTCTCACAGCTCTCATTTGTTTGTTTGTTTGAGCTCTCAGTTTTGAGCAGTGGACAGGTCTTCCCAAAGATGGGAAACAGAATGTGAATATCTTGGCCCCTGGCAACTACAAGCCCAGCTCCGAGTTTTAGGCATCCTGCCAAAGTCCCAACCTAGTCTATGTAACAGGACTAAAGCATGGCAGGACCTGCTAAGCTTCAGAGTCTCTGCATGGATGTTAATCACACACACACACACACACACACACACACACACACACACACCCCAATGCCATACTCCCCAGCCCAGGACATAAGCCAACCTACCAGGGCAAGCTCAGCACTTTGTTTCTGAGCTTCACTCTTGGCTTCATCCAGCTGACACTGAGAGTTTAACAGAAGCTGCCTCAACTTCAGGGGAAACAGCCAGGTGAGAGGTAGAGGAGAGAAAAAAAGAAGAGAAAAGAAAATCGGTTCCAGTGAGTCCATGTCTAACCCTGGGATGGAACCCAAGCCTGGAAGATTGACATAGAAGGGGCAGGTGTCCTCCAGCTACCATTTCCTGTCAGTTGACTTAGGAAGGCACACCAGGCTTTAGAAACACCTGCCCACCACCTCTTATTAAAGAGCAAAAATTTGCAACCAAAACCAGATGAGGGTGTGGACTTGGGCGATCTCCTGAAATCAGGAGACTGTAGCAGACCGAAATCCAGTGGCAGCTAAAAACGACAGCAGCAAACCTGCGGAGAGGCCACATGCTCAAAGGCCAGCTGGAGCAGGAGGTGCTGCTCTGGCCCTGCCCTGCATCGGGGCCGCCTTTCCGAAATCTGCCCAAAGACACCTCAGGGCTGTCAGTGCAAAGGGGCATCAGCAGGGCTTTGAGTGAAACCTGAAAACCTAGCTTTTAAGGCTCCTGTGGACAAGTTCTCCACAGTAAAGAAGGAACCACTCAGAATAACCCAGGCTTCATGGGGCAGAGGCCACTCAGGACCAGAACCTAGGAATGGTGGATTCACTCACCCCTGCCACCTCCTGGGCATAATTCTGGCACTCTGCACTGGCAGCTGCCATGTGCTTCTCCAGCTCTGCTTCCAAAAGTGAAGTGTGCTCCCTCACCTAAACAGGGACAGACATGGACACTGGTCAGAGCCTCTCAGTGGCCAGCAGGGGCCCTTATTATACGAGTGGGAATGATAGCTGTTGAGTCTGGCTGGCCCCAAAATAAGCAAAATACTACCAGGTACACTGAGGTCAGAAAGAAACAGTCCCTAGCAATAGAACCTCTCATTGAACATCGAACAGGTCCTGAAAAGTCCTCGGGCTTCAGGGTGGGTAGAGCAAAGTTTATGTATTGGCAAAGCTTAGGACAGAGGGCACTTTTCCAAAGGCCAAGGCTTGCTGCAGTACCTTGAAGAGCAGCAGGCTCCCCAGGAAGCACATCCCTGAATTCTAAGGTCTACAACTAAGCCACTACTGGGCAGACTACACAGCTCATGGCTCCCAGGCCACTGTGGCTATAAAACCTTATTACTTAGGCTCAACAAGACAAAGCCCTTGCTCAGAAGAGCGATGGCCTCCTTGGACATGGGTTTGTGAGGAAAAAAAATAACAAGGATGCATACAGTCTTGGCATGAGTGTCAGAACATGACCAGCAAATTTATAGGACAACAAAAAGCAATCATCAGAACGGAGACAACATACCTGATCTGAGTTTTCAAGTTCTTCTTTTAGCTTCTCTACAATGTCTTCCAGATGTTTCACTGTGACCCGTGACTACAAGGGAGAAGACAAGACCCATCAGGCACGAGACTCTGGGAGAAGCATCCTGGGCCCACTAGCTCAGGTGCCCACAGTGCTGTGGCCATCAAGCTCTGGGAAATATGCAGGCCAGCCATACCTTCTGGAGCTCCTCTTCAGCAGCCCCCACCTTGGCCTTCCACACACGCTCTTCCTCCTCCACGCTCTTCTGCAGGTCTTTGAGCATACCCTCCTGGAGAGGAGGCAATACTGAGGCAGGCCCCTCCCTCCTTAGTTTGACCCCGCAAACACAAACTATATCTTCTTCGCCCTCTGCAGCACTATTCTTCTCCACTGACTGTTGAACTGAGTGTCACAGGGAAAAGAAGCTGGCCCTGGCAGGGCTTTATCAGGAAATGAGGTCTACAGCCCCCGTAAAGCTGCCAGAACTCCTACTATTTTTGGAATCAAAGGGCTCAACCCCATTTACTCCAGGACTACCTCGTCCTTCCTGCCTGCCTGCCCAAGCATCCCTATTGTAACTATCTTTCCTAGCCCCAAACCTTAAATCCATGCTTGTTCTTGACTTAATACCACCCAGCTAAAGAGATGAGGGCAAGGTGGCTGCACGAGGGCACACAGAACCATGTCATCTGCCCCAAAGACTCCAGGCTCTTATTCCTGGCAGTGCCCTAGGAACACCAAGCTACAGTTACCACTAAATCACCACCAAAGTTAGCCCTGGCTGCTCACCGTCTCTGCCAGGATGGTGCGGTACTGGTCACACTCAGCCTGCAAGGAGTTCTGGGTCTCTTCGGCCTCCCTCAACTTGGAGACTATGTCCTGAGGGCAGAGGGACAATCACGAGTCTGGTTAGTCCTTCCTCTTGATGACTCACTGAACAAACTGGACTCCTGATTCCCAAGAGCCAGAGGAGGACCCAGCCCAGCAGTGTCACTTACCAAGGAGGGCTCTACGGAGGCAGGCGGTTTCTTTAGCAGCTCAGAGCCCTTCTCTTTGACTTCCCGCAGCCACTCAGCATAGTTCTGCAAAGAAACAGGCATGGTGGGGCCAGGTTGCTCCCTGACAACAATGGGGACCTGGGGAGTCATCTTTCTCCCTACCTGGTGTGCTGAGATGGAGAGGTCTGGGAGCAAAGCCAGCAGAACCTCCTTGGTCTGGGCCTCAGCCAAATGGAGCTGCTTTTCTGATTCCTCCTGGAGGATGGAGAAAAAAGGGCAGCACTCAGCCTATGCCCCCGAAGAGCACATCCTCAGCACTGCATGGGAGGGACAAGTCAGAGGAGGCTAGGATGTTTGGTCTATGGCCCTGGTTATTTGTGCAAACCAGCAGACACTCAGGTCCCAAACACTTTCCCTTTCCAGTTTATGTGTGCAAGGATAAACACACGTGTATAATAACCAAGCTGAGGTGTACAGTAAGGGCGGGGTGGGGGCGGGAAGAGTCTAGAAGGTGCATGGTGTCAGAACAGGTGGAAACTGAAGGTGGAAGCAGGGCATATCCAGCAGCCACCAGGGTCAGGGCCAGTAGAAGACAGAGACAGAGGCTGAAAAGGGTCAGCTCCAGCTAGAGGAGGAAAAGGGGACCAAATTCCCATCAGGCAGAGCTAAACCAACTTAAAGAACACAGTGAACATGACCCAAGCTTGACTCATCCCAAGCTGTGCCAAGCCTGACACTCCTCATTGGTCCTCCAGAGGGAGTCAGCAGCCCCCTACGCAAGGCACAGCACCAGGAAAAGAGGCAGAGAAGACCTAAAGGAGCCATCAAACAAAGCCCAGGACAACTGCATCCTCTGAGCACACAAGTCTGTGGAATGGCTCCAGGGAACTTTGGCCTAAAAGTTTTGTCTAAACCTGAGACAGACAGAACCCACTTTCAGTTCCATACCACTGTGTATGGCTTGAGGCTTGACGTGGCAAGGACCCCAACCTTGTGAGCAGCACTTTGGCTATCTATTCCTGATCCATGAAGGCAAACAACATGACATATGAGGTGACCCTCTAACTCTATCTGCCTATGTAGCGACAATCAAGTAAAGTAACAGCTTAGACCACAACTTCCACATTTGCCAGATTCATGGGTCATTTCTAGGACTAGAAGTCCAATATTCCAGGAATCTGACTTCAGCTCTAAGAATGCAGTGTGGCTAAGGCTAGCCTTTCCCAGGTCTTTCTTTGGAGAACCATGAGAGAGTTACTGCAAAGCTGTCCTGTGGAGATGGTCACTCCTGTGTAAGTGATGCTGGCAAGAGATAGCCTTTCATGTGTGATGGGCGCAGGTGCAGGGAGCTCTGGGTGTCACCACTGCTGGGGATGAGATGCCATGCTGGCTCCTGGCCAACCAAGGGCCCTAGAGGACTTCACTGCCCAGATGCTCACTGCTGAGGCCATTTCCCTGAGATACAATATAATTTTCAACTTAGTCCAGGATGAAAAATGCACAAAATCTGTAAGCTGCATAACCCTGGGCTTGCTCAGGGTCTGTGCTCCTCTCAACAGAGGAAAGCGTCAGGGCACAAATTTATTTGCTCCATCTTAAGGAAAATGACAAAAAAGGAAGGAGGGAGAGAAGGAAAGAAGAGGCCATGGAGCTCGGGTGGTGGGGGGCAGAGTTAGATACAGGAAATGTTCTAAAGCCAAGGCTAGCCCGTCCATGGCTTTTGAGTCTCATAGTGTTTGCTAAAGCAGATGGGTATTGGTGCTTCACCCGTGGCCTTACCAAAGCACTCAGGATGGACAGGGGCTCTTACCTTGGCTTGGGTCAGGGAGCGCAGCTTCTCCTCACAGGCCCGCTCAGCTAAGGCCAGTGCCTCCATGGCCTTCCAGTTCTTTTCTCGGAGGTCCTAGAGGGAACCAGAGAAAATCAGCTTGGGGCAATTATAGCACAGTCCCCACTGGCCGCCTCAAGCTGGTCTCAGCAAAAGCAGAGCTCACAGAGCCTCCTTTAGTCCACACCAGGGAATCTCCTAGGACCTGCCAGGAACCAAGTATCCTTTCCTTGGTCTATGTACACATGGCCTCTCAGGGCAGGTGGCTCATATACGAAGATAGATACTGTGGCCAGAAGTAGGAATGGTCAAGGCACAAGGTAAAATGGCCTGCCATTTTCAGGAAAGAGAAGTGGGGAGCTAGCTTATCTCTTCAGAGGGAAGTTTCCTGTGGCCCCTGGCACAGTACTGGCCTGGACAGTCCTTGGGAAGCTTTGTTCTCTATGGGGGCACTGTAACAAGGCACGTGCAAGCACAGCCTCAGTGGAGAGGTATGCCACCTGCGTAGCATGACTTCTTCATGGCTTCTAGTGTCACCCTCCCTACCCTGAACTGTTCAAAGGGAGCGTAAGTTCTGAGCCAGGCCAACCACTGCAATCCCAGCCCAGAGGTGGCCCCATGCTTGGACAGTCTGCTGTGGGATAGCTGTGGGCTGTGTGGGAATGGAGAGGCTGAAGAGCGGCTCAGCACACATTGTAAACTTCCAGCACAAACAACGGGGAAAGGAGCTGGGAGCGAGCCACGTCCCATGCGGCCTGGGTGGTCACAGAGTGTCTTCAGGTGACTTGGGAGGACTTGGCCCACAGGCTCCTCTCTGCCCCTTCTACTCACGTTGTTCTTCCCTTTCTGCTGCTCCATGGCCTCCTTGAGCTCACTGGTCTCCTTCTCCAGACACGACACCTGTGACTCCAGCTCCTTGAGACTGGGGGCGGGGAGGGGGATGGTGAAGTTTCAGTCTTGGCTCCAAGAACTCATTTCTTCTCTGCTTGGGCACCTGGCCCAGCTTGAGGTCCCTCCCATCTGCCTGGGCATATATGCTTTAAAAAGCCTATCTAGCTGCCTAGCCTCTTTCTCCGAGACTCACCTTAAGTGCAGGAATCAGGGCAAGGACATGAGTCAGAGTTAGAAGTAAGGTTTTTAAGACGTTCTTTCTTCTAGCCTAGGTCCTTTCTGGGCACCACAGCCCATGTCGGCTGACCCTTCCCTGTGGTGCACACCTGGCCCTTAGTGCTGAAACTCAGGGCAGTGCTGCCGCCCCTCCAGCTAGAACTCTTGGAACCATGGTTCTTAGCAGCTCTCAAGAGCCCACTGATTTCTAGCGCTTCGGAGACTTACAAGCTCCTTCTTCCTAGTTTTGGGACTGAGTTTGAGGAATTAGCTGACGACAACCTATCACACTATAGGATGGTCAAGTCCCCATCTTTCCAGTGATCTCCAGTGACCTTCACCATAGAGAAATAAAAGCTATACTCAAGGCTCTTGGGGATGAGCCTCAAATGGACATCTTAATGTGATACCTTCTGCACTGAATGTAGAACAGATGGCCCGAGCCAGATATAGGAAACCCAAAGTCCAGAAGTGGTCAATTGTGGTAGTTTAAATAAAAATGGCCCCCATAGGCCCATAGGGAGTGGCACTATTAGAAGGTGTGGCTTTGCTGAAATAGGTGTGGTTTTGTTGGAGGAAGTGTGCCATTAGGCTCTGAGGTCTCAGAAGTTTGAGCCTGGTTAGTGTGTCACTGTGACATCCTGCTGCCTGCAGATCCAGATGTAAATGCTCAGCTACCTCTCTAGCACCATGCCTGCCTGCATGCCATCGAGCTTCCCATCATAATGAACTAAACCTCTGAACTGTAAGTCAGCCCCAATTAAATGTTTTCCTTTTTAAGACTTGCTGTGGTCATGGTGTCTCTTCACAGCAACAAAATCATAAGATATCAATGATATTCTAAACCAGCAGCTTGAGCAACTCTGAGATGCCAAGAGAAGCCTGACACAGAGTAGCTGCTACCAGTCTGATGCAGGGATCTGATTGCCAATGTCAACTAGAAGGGAACACACACACACACACACACACACACACACACACACACACAGGTTTCTTTCAGGAGGCCATGGTCAAAAGCTTTTTGAAAACCACCATTCTAATTCACACTAACATGAACTATAAAGTCAGCATGGGCTGAACACATGGCCATCCTGACCACCCTGACTAACAATGGATTCAGTCTGGCACAGCTTCTGTTTTCAGTCTGAATATGGCAGACCTGGCCTAGTGGGCTTTGTGGCTGTGGGTTTTAGGCCCACAAACCTTGAATACACCCTGAAAGCTCCACTTGGATCCCTCAGTTACTCCCTCTGAGGCCAGCATTATACAATCGTCTCTTCTGGCAGAACACCCCGAGCACGTCCAGGGTAAGACCCTGAGGAAGAAGCATGCACACCAGTGGCAAGGACACACTGACCATAACCTCCTTGGCAGTGGCTATAAAGTTCCAGAACATTTGGTTTGGTACTCTAGCTCAGAACAGGGTGGCTCCCCACTTAGGCAACTTACAGATACACTGTTTCAGAAGGAAATCAATCAATTCCTGCTGGACATACTAACACCAGACTTTAGCAGGTCTTATTCAGAGTGTGACTTAGTTATCTCAGTAATTTTACTGTGTGACACAAAAACCTGAGGTTGTTTGTTTTGATACAAGGTCTGGTAGGTCTGTCTGTCCTTAATCTTATAATCCTCCTGCCTCAATCTTTAAAATATTAAAATTACAGGTGTGTCTCATCATGCCAGTCTTCAAAACTATGATCTTAAAACACAAGAGAAAGCCGTAAACGAATACAACCTCTCCACCTTATAAATATCATCGGGAGAAAAGAGGTTCAGCCATGCATTCTGAGAGGGCTGACTTCTGGGTCTTCAAGTGAGTTTCTAGTTTATTCTTAGCATGCCCCTCCTCCCAGTTACAGAGCCCGGAGGATGCCAGGGGACACTCAGGCTGTGACTAGGAAGCTGCATTACTGCAAAGCACATGGAGAAACAACTCTTTGGCAGTAACAGTCAGAATGAGGGATCCTGGTGGCTGCTATCCTAGGACACTGCCAGGATGCAGGGAGACCATTCTTCGTACCCCTCCTTCACATGGCTGCTTTGGGGGCCTAGACCATGGCAGCAGGACTCACCTCCCAAGCCTGTGGGCATCTGCCCCAGAGGCGCTGGTCAGAAAGACTTGAGCCTGATCTGAGCAGGCCATCCAGACACTTTGGCCTTAGCCAACAGCAAACAAAAGCCATGAGAATGACTGGTGTGAGTCTGTATGCAACTGACACTGAGGGGAAATAGTCTGGCCAGCAGGAAGTCACCTCACAAATGAAACGACTCTATAATGTGCTCTGGACTACTCCAACAGAAAGGGACACTTCCTCATTTGACTTCTGGATCTCAATCCTTAAAAACCCCACACCTTGCAGAAACCAAGAGCCTTTATGAAGCACTGGAGAGAGGCAGCACAGCTTACTCTGAGTTCACTGTTATGTTCATCCAGGGATTTGGGCTAAGCTTCAAGTGTTAAGAAGGCGTGAGACCTCTAAGAGGCAGGGCCTAGGGGGAGGTAGTTTGGTCATGGGAGTGCTGCCCTAAAAAAGGAATTATTTCTATAAAGGCAAGCTGTTGTAAACAATAAGCCTGACCCTGGTCTCCTGCCTCACCACAAGCAACTTATGGATTCCTGCCATTGTGCTACACACCGGGATGTGAGAGCCAAGGAGGGCCCTCACCAGAGGCCAGATACCAAACCTGAGAGCTGAGGAAGTATCTTTTCTTTTGAAGGGTGCCCAGCCTCATGTATTCCGCTGTAACTATGGAAAGCAGACTAGTGCAAAACTCTTGCAAGGTGGCTTTGTTCCCTACCAAGTCTGTCTTCTATCCTCTAAGTCACCGGAGGGACAGGTTAAGCAAGGGGACTCTAAAATCTAAAAATTCTGAAGGAGGATTCCACCCCCCACCCCCCCCACCCCCCCAGGAGACCCAAGCATTCCAGTGAAAGCTCCAGCTTCCAGGGGCCCATGGCCAACCTGGGCTGCAGCTGGAGCAACAGCCCTGCAGCCCTCTGTGAAGCTTACCGAGTCTGCTGCTGGTCCACCTCAGCTTGGCTGGCCTGAAAAAAAAACACAGAAAGCTCCTTGGTTCCACAAGGCTCACAAGTGCAGGAACTGGGCAAGGCTGGAGGCCCTTTGCTCAGCAGAGTCCACCCTCTCCTCGGACTGGCCTGAGAAATGACTGACCTGGGTGACTTGGGCCTGGCCTGCTCCCAGAAGCGTCTCGATGGAACGGATCCTCTCTGTGAGCTGTAAGTTCTCTGCCTTGGCATCCTGGAGCTGCCCGTGGAGATTACTCAGCTCCTCACACTTGCTTTTCACTTCTACCTCAGAGGACTGTAATTTGCTGTGCAGCTCTGTAGAAGGACAAGGAAAGAAGTCAGGGTCTGGAAATGCCTGGCTGGGCACCTCCTCCAACACACATAGAACGCCAAGGGCTCCCTCTTGCACTGTGTGCCCAGAGGCCTCACTTCCGCATGGAGCTGCTTATGGACTGGTAAGGAAAGGCGTTCTGTGGCAGCGACATCTGTGAGCACCACAGGTAAAATAAACCAGTGAAGGAAAACGAACAGCAAGCAAAGCACATTCAGTGCAAGTCATTCTCTACAAAGTACTGGTTCATAGGAGTGAGACTGAGCGCAGAAGTGAGACATCCAGCGGCTGTGCCCTCCCAAGGACCTGCCCTGGCCCTTCTGTGGGAGACATCCTCCCGCTACAGTCAGCTCACAAGTACCACAGCTAAGTTAGCCCAGTGCCTCTGACGCTTCCTCTCCCTGAGGCTGATCTTCAGGCTCAACCCTAGGTGATGCTTCCAGATGGAGCCTGAACAAGGCAAGAGAGACTGAGTCCCAGCTTCCCAGGGATGGGATCATCTCTCTCCCCATCTGCAGCATGGGGGCTCTGCACCCACCATCTCAAAGTCTGCCTCCACCAGGCCACTCTCTTTCTTGTCTGGACAATAGCAGCTGCTCCTATCACCGCTTCTCCCACTGCCCATCTGAGCCTGCACCACGATTCTGAGGAGTGCCAGTGGAGCTGAGTCATGGCCCAGCCCCACATCTTCCCATGTAGTCAGCTTTCTCATCCCAGTACATACTTGGGGCAAGTCCACTCCTTTCTCTGGGCTTTGTGCTGCCTGGGTTCTCCTTCTTCTGACCTAGTTTTAAGATCTCACCTTCTACCTCAGAGGGCACACAGTGGCCAAAGGCATACCTGGCCTTCTAGAGCAGAGGCCAGGAAGCTGGCCCAAGGCTGCTCACCCCCACCCATTGTAAAAAGAATTTTGTTTCAATGCCAGGACTGTAGATTATAGGATATCAATGGCTGCTTTGCCCCCAAGTAGCAGAGCAGTGTGGTTGTAACAAAAATCATCTATCTCAGAAAGTCAAGCATTTACTTCTGCCCCACCACAAACTGTCTGTCCAGAAGGCATTGTTGTGACTAGTCCTTGTGGCTAGCACTGCTGCCAGCCTAGCGCCCATGTCAGGGGTTCAGGAGGAATGGTGGGTAAGTGACTGATCACCACATTCTTATCACCAGCACCACCTAGGCCTCATCCAGCCCTTGCAGGCCCTGCCCCCGCTCTACCGTCCTCATCTCATGTTTAACACTTCCAGGTTCTACTCTGCAGCCAGTGGTGGATAGTTCGGGCCCACTATGCTATGGTTCCCACAATGAGACAAGGTCACTGGGAAGACTCATCTGGGAGAGTCATCCAGAAAGAGCCATAGACACTGCACTCACCTGCTACCCGCTGCTGCTGTTCCTGGGCCTTCTCAGCATCTGCCTGGAGGCTGGCGTGGCTCGTCTGTGCCCTGCACAGCTCCCGGGTGACCTCCTCAAGGCGCTTCTGCAGAGCCTCTTCACTCTCTTTATGGGATGCCTGAGGAGGAACAGACAGGAAGAGGGCTGTGAGAAGCAGAAGAGGCCTAGCTCCTGTAAGCTGAGGGGCTGCAGAGAACACAGCTCTATACATGGTTATCCTAGTCACTGTGGTCTCTGGATGGTGGGCAAAGAACAAGTTCAGGGCCAGTGACATGGTTCAGCTGGTAAAGGTGCTTGCCTCCAGCATGATAATCTAAATTTAGTCCTTGGGACCTACACAATAGGAGAGAATACTCTTATGATGTAATTTCAACAAGAAAGAAAGTCCATTTCTGGATAATTCTGAATCTGTATAAATATTCCCCCAGCTAGCACCCCTTCAATGTGAGGACAGCTCCTAGAGTTCTTGTTTGGGGGAAGATAGCTTCCCCATTGGTGTCAATTCTCTCCCTTGAAGTAGCTGCACACAAGCAAGGCACACAGTTAAGACATATAACACTGCTAGCCTTTTTACTTCAAAGTTCAGCCACACAAAACCATCGGTGTTCAACCATGCTTGATCCGTCAAACGGCCATTTCTCCTATTTCAGTCTGCATCTCGAGGACTTCCATGTCAACACAGACAGGTCCACCTCATCCTTGTTCAGAGCAACACAACTGTCGCCCACTCAGTGGCAGAAAGGCCTTTCTCATCTCTCAATCAATCCTCCTCAGGGCATCTGTCAATCATTCCTAAACACTGGCCTCCTGGCGAGTGGGTACTTTACAGGCCAAATTCTGCAAAGGACCAGATCTCTTCAGAACCCAAGTTTGTCTGGATCACGGACGAGTGGGACGAGTGGGACGAGTGAGAGGGGACAGTCAACAAGTAACTCTAGTCAGCTAAAGTGGTATTCCAAGACATCCTCAAACACTTTAAGGGGCTGACAGATTGAAAACACCAATTTCCTTCTCTTCCAGGGCAATGTCTGCACAGGGGTGCTAAGTCAACCATTTTAATGACATGGAGACACAGCTGAATCCAGTGATAGAGCAGCTCTTACTAAGAATGTACCCCTTGGCTGTAGAAAAGTGTGCACTATACAAGGGAAAGTTGGGGTAGCTTTAGGGTGGGTAATATTTTCTCTACATTCAAATGTGTCAAAAGGTTGGCTCAGCTCCAAATAAAAGGCACAAAAGTAAAGAATGGTTCAATGTCTCCCAGTGGGCAGGCATGCTTCTCCTCTGCCCATCCATCATAGCATATATAATATCCTCACCGCTCTGTCAGTACTGAGAAGAACAGGACAGAGACATCACCTGTGCAAGAATATCACCCACCCACCTGTGTCTCTCTTTTCATTAAGTAGGAGAACCAACCTGTCTCATTTTTCTTCTCACTGAAAAATGAGAGACTGCTCATTTTTCTTCTCGTGGTCAACATTAACTAAAGTACTGATTTCAATAAACAATCACAGGAATCCATTCATCTACAGAAATTAAAAACTTCAAAACTTTAACAGAAAGCACATACATACACCTTAGGAGACAACGAGCCTTTTAGTCTGGAAGAAGGTCATCAACATAGCCAGGCTAGTTCTATGCTAGGCCAACAGGCCATGGACTTCCATAAATAAACACTGCTGGGACTTAGGTTCAGTCTATCCTGGGACAAGGAGTCAGGACAGGTTCCATTTACTGCCTGGAAGATGGCTCTAGGGTCAGAGTTAGGGCCACCTCCTGATGCTATGCTTTGGGAACTAAGCCAGCAGGGCCTTGCCCGCCCTGGTCCCCAAAGAGTTAGAAAGGCAGAATGAAAAAGGCCTTTCTTTCTAAAAAGCAAGCTGCAGTCTCGCACGGCTAATCTTCAGTTGCACTGCAGACAGGCACTACTGTCATGTCCAGGAGCAGAGAGGAAGCTGGGCTCAGCCTAGGCCAATTCGTCTTCACACAAGCTAGTAGGAGCATCAGAAGTCGTAAGTCCCGGGACTGACTGAAGCCTTATGGATGTTACCTATCATGCTACGAGGACAACCTCCCTCCCTCTGAAAGAGACTGGGAAACATCTTCCAAGCCACAGCATCTCCAGCCAGAAGCTCACTGTCACTTCAGAGCTGCAGTAGCCAGACTCAGACCCAGAGTCTGACTCTGCCATGCCCCTTGCCATGCAAACTTTGGGTAGTTGTTTCATTTCTCTGGGCCACAAGCGTCCTTGTGAGTGAATGGCAGATGTCAACAGTTCCTACCTTGTAGAATAGGGTATAACATTTAGGGTATAACATTGGTACTTATTCCAAGATCCCAATTTTCTCCCCAGCAATTTTGTCTACTTCCCTTAGCCAAGAGGATAACTATATGTTTTTCCTTGGGTTCCCCTTCTTACTTAGCTTCTTTAGATTCACCTATTGTAGACTCCGTGACCCTTATTTATGGCTAGAAACCAATTATGAGTGAGTACATCCCATGTTCATCTTTTTGGGTCTGGGATACCTCACTCAGGATAGTGTTTTCTATTTCCATCCATTTGCATGGATGGGTGGGTGGGGTGGGTTGGGGGTAAGAGGAGATGGGGAGAGAAAAGTTAGAAGGGAAGGAGGTCGGGCCTTGGGAAAGCAGGAGGATTGGGATAAAGAAAGGTTGGACAGGGGAGCACGGAACCACAATTCTTAGTTAAGGGAACCACTTTAGGGTTGGCAAGAGACCTGACCCTAGAGGGGCTCCCAGGTGCCCAAGCTGAGGTCCCCAGTTAGTTCCTTGGGCAGTTGAGAATAGGGAACCTGAAATGACCCTATCCTTGAGCAATACTGACGAATATCTTGCATATCATCATAGAACCTTCATCTGGTGATGGATGGAGATAGAGACAGAGACCCACACTGGAGCACTGGACTGAGCTCCCAAAGTCCCAATGAGGAGCAGAAGGAGGGAGAACATGAGCAAAGAAGTCGGGACACGAGGGATGCACCCACCCACTGAGACAGTGGAGCTGATCTATTGAGAGCTCACCAAGACCAGCTGGACTGTGACTGAAAAAGCATGGGATAAAACTGGACTCTCTGAACATGGCGAACTATGAGGGCTGATGAGACGCAAAGGACAATGGCACGGGGGTTTGATCCTACGTAATGTGATGGCTTTGTGGGAGCCCAGCCAGTTTGGATGTTCACCTTCCTAGATATGGACGGAGGTGGGAGGTCCTAGGTCTTACCACAGGGCAGAAAACCCTGACTGCTCTTTGGACTGGAGAGGGAGGGGGAAAGGAGTGGGGGGAGGGGGAGAAGGGTGGGAGGAGGGGGCGTAGGGGGGGAGGAGGGGGAGGGAAATGGGAGGCTGGGAGGAGGTGGAAACTTGTTTTTTTTTTTTTCTCCTTTTCTCAATAAAAAAAAAAAAAAAAAAACATTGGTACTTATTGGTACCAAGCACACTGATGCTTAGCACACAGCATTTCCTGTATGCTACTGCTCTAACAAGGCAAAGTTCAAGAGTTCAAGCCCCAAACACTGACTAAACTTCCAGCTGTTCACCCTGCCTGGAAAGGGATGACTATGCTCATACGGAACAGCCACAGGGCTATAGAATCAGGTTCAGTGCGCAGTGAACGGACATTAGGTGGCTACCACTGCTACTCACCTGCAGTTGTAGGACCTGCTTCTCAAAGGTGGCTGCTTTGGCTTCCAGAGCTTTCCGTTGTTGCTCCTCCTGCCGGGAGGCCTCTGACTTCTCCACTAGCTCCTTGCTCACCTTGCTAAGCTCCTGTCTGAGCTTTGCCAGTTCTGTGTTCTGCCTGTAAGACAGTTCCCAGCCCCAGTTGAGGAGGGGGATAGAGACTGGCAACTGATCCCTCTCTCAGGCATATCTGCCCTTTTCTAGTTTAGTGCCCAACTCTTAGGTTCATTATCTAAGAGTAAATCATGTGGCTTTTGGTGTGGATTTTATTGAAAATGGGTTGCCAATATAGTATGTGGAGCAAAAGGCCTCTCTCAGACACCACTGAAAGCAGACAGAACAAAGACAAGACAGGTGCAAGGAGCGTCCCCTCACTCCCTGCACGTGTGGTTCACTTCACTGCAGAGGAGAGGATAGCCAGCTTAGGGAGTGCCTCGTGAAGGCACTGATGGTCCTCGTCCTGGCTCTTTGTTCCACCAGATGACCAGAGAGGCCATTCAAGGCTAGAGATCAAGACACTTAGAAAAAGTGCTTCAGTGTGGCACTTTAAAGTGGGTGTCAGGCCACAAGAATATTCTGGAATTTCAGGAAACTTACTGAAGGAAAGTTTGAGACTAATCAAATGTCTACCTCTGTTACTAGCTAGAAAAAGCATAAGACAAGGGGACAAAAAGAAGTGAAAACCCAGCTGAGAGCAGCTGTGCTTCACTGACAGATGGGGTCCCTCCTCTCTGACAAACTATACCAGAGACCAAACCACAGAACCTTTAACTCAAGCACTGTACAGTACAGAGATCCAAATGACCTGGTAAGGGTGGTGTGGCGCCTTCTCGGGACTGCTTAGGACTTGTGGATGGAAACAGGGCTGGTAAAACCCACTTGGCTGCTGTGGACTCCCGACCAGGCAGGGTTTCTGGACTGAGGGGAGGCAGCAGCCACTACTTGGTGACAATTCCCCAAGCTTCAGAACTTTCTTCAGAAAGAAAGTGACAGAGATTCCACATGACAGAGAACGCCAGAGTTTCTCAGTCCTCAATAGCCTTGCAGTGGAGGACTGAGACCACAGCAGGTCCTTGAAACACCTATACTCTCAACTAGAATAAATCTGGCTTTGATACTCTGTGACAACCCCCCCCCCCCATATACCATGTATGCCAGCAAGGATGAGCAGCAGGTTGGCACACATCAGATCTTTCTGAAGCATCAATGACATGAGGGGCTCTGGGCCAGTTGCTAAAAGATGCAACTGCTCAGAACCCGCATAGATGCTGGATGTGGCCAAGTAGAAACTCACAGGAAGTCCTGTGTATGGCTGCCACACCAGCCCCACACCCAGAAAGATGCTTGACTGCATCTGCTATAGCCCACAAGAGACCCACTAAATCCACCCAGGTTCTCAGTCCTAGGAAACATGTTACCATGGTCTCTACATGGGACACTCAGCTTACTTGCTTTCCACCTGGCTGGTGGCCTGGTTCAACGCATCCCTCAAGATGGAGTTCTCCTGCTGTAGGCGGGCCAGCTGGGTGTTGGGGCCATTCTCCAGCTGCTCCTGAAGAGTCCGGATCTGAAAAGTTACCAACAAGATCATCAGGGCTGGTCAGCCACACACAGCATTAGCAAGGTCACACAGCTCAGAGTGGAAGGTCTGGAGACTACATCTGCTCCAAGACAAGTCAGGAGTGTGCAAAAAGCAAGAGGTACAAGCACTGTGCCACTCCAGTGTCAGGGTCTCAGGGACAAGTGTAGATCTCCTTCACCATCACCCATCTCTCTAGCCAACGCCTCAGACAGATGCACAGGTACCTGAAGTCACACAGGTATACTATTCTGAGAGAAAAAAAGCACAGGGCCACAGAGCACAACTGCCTCAAGGAGGACTCATCTCTTGCCTCCTGAGTCCACATGGCATCCCTGAGACATGTGGCAGGGAAGCAGTCATGCCCACAATGAGCCAAACATAGATTTTAGAAGATAAATGTCAGTCAAGACAGGGAGTCACCAGTGCTGGTCTCCCGATGCAGGAAAAGGTATGTTCAGGTTTCCTACTTTACGGGATCCTCCCAACCACCAAGAGAAAGTGTAATCAGCATCACTGCAGCCTCACCTGATGCAAGGCTCTTTTGAAACGGTGCTGTTTAAAATATATTTTAAACCTTCCTGGTTAATAACATCAGACGTACGGAAATGCCCAGTCAGATTCAGATCCCAGCAGACTTCCTCAGTCTCTGCTCAAGCCTCACCCTCTGTGTCCCCACGACTCACCCAAGCCTGCTCCTTCCCCTGTGCCCACCTTGCCCTGCAGCTGCTGCACCTCCTTCACATGGTCCTGGTAGCTGGCCTGCATTCGTGCCTGCACAGCAGCGATCTCCTGCTCCCGAGCTACCAGCTGCTTCTTCACCTTGGCCTCCCCAGCTGCAGCTTTGGCCTTCTCTGAAGCCATCTCCTAAGAAGAAATGGCAGGTAGGGGTGAGGGAACTTGACCAGGCAGGCAGAAACAGGGCCAGATTACTTTCGTGAAAAGCATTGAAAGGGTAATGTTCTAAGTGGAGTTTGTTTTGTCTATGTAGCCTAGAAGACAAGTATTGTTACCAGCACTCACTGGTGCTCTGATAGCACATTCTTCTGGGATCTGTTCCCATTCCCAGATTAGTGGGGTCCTGCATAGACTGGCAGGGCCCAGAAAGTGTCCACAGACCGGCCTCCATATACAGCCTGGAACCGTACCACCTCCCATCCTGACTTTCTCAGTAGTGTCTGGCTGGTGTTTGCAGGCCTCGGGCTCTTTTGCTGAGCAGAGCCCTATCTTACAAGGCCACACACTTTGGCACTGGAGTGGACACACAATGGTCTTGTCCAGAGTGTGGTGCCTGGAAAGACAATGGCTGGAACGGTTTCCAGAAGGTTTTGCCTTCCTTGGCCTGGAGTCTTCAAAGCTACACCTGGGCCCTGAACACTTAAAAGGGAGCGCTGCCAAATCATAGAGCTCCCAGGAGTGCTCAAGCCCATAAGCTCCTTCAGACACTGGTCACGGGCCCAACTCTGACAGGCCCTTCCAGGTGAGTGGCACAAACTCTGCAGATGACTGGCATTCTCAGTGCATCCAGGACAGGCCTTTTGGCATGACTCCAAGAATGATCACCAAGCAAGACCCTTTCCCAAACATTTTCTCATATACTTTCTCAATGGTTTGGGACTAGGAGATATAACACCGGCATGACATACACACGCTGGCTCTGTTGGGATATGATGGTCCACAATTGCAAGGGCACAAGGACGATAAAAGCAGACAAAATAATAAACATTCAACTATTTACAAAGGGAAGATACAAATACCAACTAAAGCTCCTCCCTCAGCTGCAAGCCAGCCGGGGCCTCAGTGGCCACTTGCTTACAAACAGTCTGTTAGGCTGGGTCAAGCAAGGTCAGAGTATTTGCTCTACAAGGCTCACAGTCTACCAGCAACCAGATACAGGTCTGTGGCAATTATAATGATCACCTCCATGAGAGTTCCATAAGATTCCTCAGTGCTGGTTACAAAACTAAGTTATATAGGATATTAAGAAAATGTCCAACCCACCAGGGAAGTACAGGAGAACCTCAGTAGACGCAGGAAAGAGTAGTGTCCTGGGAGCAGGCAGCCATCCAAAGAGGGGAAGGTAAGATGCAGAGGCCTAGCACTCAGGGTGCAGATTTGGGGATGGAGACTGGGAGCTAGTGACAAAGCATGAAAGAGGTTTAAGTAGAGATCAGCGTTGGATCTCCTGAGCTTATAGGAAACTGGACGTGGGTAGGGATAGAGGATCATAGCTGGACACTGGCATTAAATCTGGATCAGAGCCAAGGCCCACACTCTGAAAGATGAGGTGGGTAACAAAAATCAAGGCTTCTGGACCTACAGTCCATACCAGGAACAGATTCTACTGCCACAACCAAAGAAGGGTGGGACATGAACATGTTTGGTAATTAGGTGCCATTGTGGAAACCATGCCACACAGCCACCTCTGAGGGAGAGCATGGACACTGAGTGGCCAACACAGAGGTAATATCTAAGAAGCCTTACTTCCTTCAAACCTGCCACCCTGTCCTTAGTGAATATGACTTCAGAATGGGAAAGAGCCCACTCTATCAGAGGTTACAACCTCCTCATCTATCATGTCTTAAGCCCTTTCTAAAACTAAAGGGTCTAGACACAACTGACTAGTCAAGGAACATACAGTCTGCTAGAAGGGCAGACACTCCTGCAGCCTCTCATCTGTACTTCAATTTGGAAGTCAGCAAATTTCCATCAGGACTCCTCTGTCTATTTAGAAAGAAGGTATTTTTGTTTTTGTGTGTTTGTTGTTGTTGCTTATTTTTTGATCAGTGACATAAGCTGGAGCCATCTGAAAAGACTGTTGGTTATGCCGACCCTGGGCAGGTAGTAAGCAAGCCAGTAAGCAGCTGTCCTCCACAGCTTCCACTTCAGTTTCTGTCTTGAGTTTCTGCCCTGACTTCCCTCAGTGATGGAATGTGAACCGAGAGTTAACATGAATAAATCCTTTCCTCTCGAGTTGGCTGTGCTGTTTATTACAGCAACAGAAACTTTAACTAGGCAGAAGGTATTAGAACAGCTCCCCAGAACTGCGGACTCTAGTCATCTGATCTAAGAAGTTGGAGGACTCTGCCAAGTTCCATGGTATAAACTCTCACCCTTCCTGCAGCCTAGGCCTAAATCCTAACATGAAGTGTGCATAGAGCTAGGAGGAGATGGTGCATCCAATTGTCGTAAGCTGAAGGCCTGCATTTCCAGGAACCCCAGATAGCTCGAGTAGGCCATGTGGTAACATCTTAAGAGGCAGGACAGGAGGTCACTGAACCCTAAGAAGAGGTCTCTGGTGGATGACCAACTTGTCTATCAACCAAATTTTCTGTCTGGCTCAGAGGTGCAGTCACTGAATTTAAGAACAAACTCAATTTGCCTCATTTCTAGTTTGTCTCAAGTAAAACAGATGGGAAGTACCTAAGGGAAGGGCTATGCCTCAGATGGGGTCAGATATTTAATGGCCCAGGCCATTCCCCTGGGACAGGAAAGGCAAGACACAGGGCGATGGCAAGAGAAAACCCACAGCACCTGGCACAAGAGAGAACTTCCTAACTGAGAGGATACCAGGCCCATGGGGAGTCCCCTAGTCCTGCCCTCTATGTCCTCTGGGGATTCTGGGACACCAGGACCCACCTCAGAAGCAGAGAGGCAAGGGAGAGGCTCCAGTGAGCTCAGCAGTGAGTGACTGTCCAAGCCTGGGGACCTGGTATATCCTGAACAATGCCCCAAACCTGCCCCCTTAGCATCTCTGGCTCACTGCTATCTGTCATTCAGAGTAAAAGCCTTCTGAGCAGCCACAGGCAGCCAAGAGCTACCCTGTACAACACTCCACTAACATCAGAAACAGGGAGGAAGATCAACCTCTGCCCCAGTTCTCAGGAAAACCAAACTGAATTAAGTGTGCACCTCCTCCTTCCTCAATGCACTAACTCAGAAGATGACTTGTCATCCTGGGAAACACTACAATCTGAGGTTCTGGTCGCCGCTGAGCTGCATGTTTTCTTAGACCTCAGAGGAGGGACCCCAATACCACACCATCAGCTCTTTAGACAGCACAGACTCTTCAGTCAAAATATTCTTGGCTTGCTAAGACAGACAAGCCCCTATCCTGATACCCAATGGGCAACTGTGGCTGAGTTTCTCAGAGAACAGAAAGAGAAGGGGCTGCCTCACTTCTGAGCTTAGACAGTACCTTGTTGAGTTCCCTTAGTTTGCTCTTGGCGACAGCCGCATCCTCTTGCTCCGTGGCTAGCAGCTTTTCTTTCTCTTCTAGCTGGCGTTTCAGAATTGCTACAGGGTCACCCTTCTGCGTGGCCTAAAAATGTTGACAAAACCATGTTAAAGGGTTTCCCCCACTTTGGCAGTGAAACAAGAGCACTGTGGGTAGGTAGCTAAGTACCATCTGACCCTAGACATAGCCATGAGGAACAGACGGTCCAGCCTTCAGAAACTCCTAGACCTTGTGCACATGGATGCTTGCTGTAGTTTTCATAACCATAGGATTTCCGGTCTTAAAGCCAGTATATGCAGCCTAGAGGCCACTGGCTGCAGTATGGGAGCTAGAACAGGAAGTCTGTATTCTAAGGACATGGTCTGAGATAAGCAGGGACTATAGTTACCTTGACTTCAACACTCATACCCAGGAAACACCCCCAGTGCTTACTTGCTGAGGAGCTCCTGCATCAGCAAGAACATACAGAGCCTGTCATCCCCCAGTGAGAGCCAAGAAATGACTAAGCCCCAACACCTCCAGCCACTGAACTGACCAGCAGAGTTACTACCCGACTAGTTAGAGACAAACCCATGCATACCTCACTCCCTAGAACAGAGGCACTAGAGTAGGAATCAGTCTTTGAGTTTGCCATGGTAGCACAAGGGACATGTCACAGGGCTCTGCCACACACTATGTCTGGATTTCTTTCCTTATACTCTGGCCCAAACCCCTGCTCTGCCTTCCGGGCAGACAAGCAGTAGTAGATCACTGACAGCTGATGCTACATACTGAGCACAGGCAGCAATGGCAGGATTCTCTAGGATGTGGAAGCCCTTCCAACCCTTCCAGGGACATTCTTTTTGCAGTTTGACAAGCAAGGTATGCCTTGGTAGACAGTGTCTGGGCAGGGGCAGGACTGAGCAAGACGCTGATCTCAGGGGGAACGGCGTGAGTCATGCCAGCCCTACAGTGGCCTACCTTATGCCAGGTGTCCTGAGTAACTCCAGTCTTCTCAGAGAGGATCTCAATAAGCCGTTGGGCCTCACCCTCATTGAACACCATGCTTCCAACTGTGGAGACCAGCGTCGTATAGGGCAAAAAGAGAGGGCTGTCGCAGTCTTGGGTTCCTGAAGAGGGAAAAAGGAGCAGGGGCTTACATTCCACCCCAAAACAAGGGATGTACAACAATATCCCTCAAAAGGTAGCCCTGGTCAGAGCCAAGGAGAACTGTTCCATAGCTTTAGAACAGCAGGCTGGTACAGTGGGCTTCTTTTTAAATGATGGGTCCACATCATTGCATAGAGTCCCAGCAAGACTAGGAGAAACATCCTCCTTATTTTATATTGGTAGTAAGAATCATATTCAGGATTCGGTGCGTGCTAGGCAGATGCTTTGTCACTGGGCTACAACTTCCTTCTTTAAATTATCAAGACTGAAGCTGTGTGCGGATGCGGGGATGAGGTAGCTTTGTTGATAGAGCTGCTAGCACACACAAAGCCCTGGTTCGATCCTTGGCACTGCACAAACTGGGAGCTCCAGAAAGGAGGAAGGGAGATCAAGGTCACACTGCACTCCACAGTGAATGAGGCCAGCCTGAGTTACATTAGACCATGCATGTCTTAAACAAACAACAAAAAGGATGTGCAAAACTATGCACAATACATTTTCCTCTGGGGTTTTTTCCCTTTCTTCTTTTTCTAGTAAACATTTGGTTCATCTCACCTTCCATGGCTCAGTGAAATTCCCTTTTCTACCTCAGCATCTCCATGGGCACTGACTGCCCGTGACTAACAAGGGTGATCAGAATCACACATGCAAAACCTTGGAAAAGGCTGGCGGGTACCAGGAGTCTGCTCCCCACACTCAGGAACAAGCACTCTTATCTCTAGTCTCCCTGAATGGAGCTTAACTAGTGACTGGCTTCAGGAGAGGAATGGCTGAGCCAGGTCTCCCAGAACGAGCTTGTTCACCCCCATCACAACTATCACTGCCAAAACCCAACAAAATCCTCCTAAACATCCCCATCCCCAGTCCCCTTGTTGATACTCATGCTGCCTACAGGCAAGAAATGAGTGAACGGAGATAGCTCACCTAAAATGACTAGGGAATTCCTTCTGCTGATATCTAAATTTGCCCCACAGTTGAAACAAAAGGCCAAATGCACTACAACAGACAGACAAGAGAGGCCTGCAACAGGAAATTCAGCTAAGCCTACCTTCCAAGGACAAGGAATGGGAGGGTTCCTCCAGCAACCTTGAATCCTCTGACTTGTCACAATATTCCTACTTCTAGTCACAATATTTTCATCACAAGTGAAAGCACTTAGCACGATACTGTAATAAGGGGAAGGTGGGATGTGGGCGAGCTGGTTGCTATGAGCACCTTATTTTATAACTTCTTACCTTGGGAAAGCTCAGTAGATTTAAAAATAACCACATGAGCACTAAAGGCCTAAGAGTTTGTATTGCCAAGAAAGTGGAAGAGTGTGTGTGTGGGTACCTCCTTAATTTCACTGAAATATGTATGCGCACATAACTAATGGTGGACTTACATACTAGATGTAATCCTGAATGCTACAGAGCCAAAATAAAACAAAACACCCCATGAGCTCACTCTCAGGAGGAACCCCCACTGACACAGTTTTTGTTGTATGTTTTCCCATGCAGCCCCAACCTTGGGTGGATATTCATTGCGCAAGGTTTAAAAACCACAGGCGAGGAGGCATGATGTCCTCTTAAGACTCTGTGGAGTGGAAGGCTGTAGAGACATTCCTTTCCCGATTCAGAACAGTCTAGACACAGTGCTCCCTGAGAACTCGTATGTGACTCTTGCGGCCTGTGATGTGCTTCAAGCAGAAAGTTTACATGGGGTTTCAAAACTCAATGTAGACAAGAACGTAAACCAGTAACCTGACATATTGGATGTGAATTGGTAAGTTGGATGAAGTATGCTGTTAATACTCATTCCAACTGTTTCTTCTTGGCCTATTCTAAAATGGCTAGCCAGGACTATTAAGCTACAGATGTGGTTCACACCATATTCCTCTTGGACTGGCTGTTCTATGCCCTTCCAACCCCGTGATCTTAGAAGGCCCTATCCTCTAGAAGTCCCTGAGTGGTTGAAATCTCAATTCTCCACTAGTAGACACTCTTCTAGTGGGCATGTTGGTATATGCCTGTAATTCCAGCACTTAGGAAGTAGAGAACAAGAGTATTTAAGGCTAGCTTGGGATACATGAGACCCTGTCTCAAAGAAGGAGAGGTGGGGATCCAAATAAAGACACTGCCCTTCAGGCCCTATCCATTGAGCCTCACCCTTTACCATGGGAGTGAAACATTTGTCTATCACTGCTGGAGGAGGCCTTGCTACTGAACATCAACATAGGTACACGCATCAGCTATGAGAGGCTTCAAGATGCTTCCAGCACTATCCAAAAGCTCCCTCCTACATTCAGAGGGTTTCTGAGGCTATTCTTTCAAAGAGGCACTCTAGACTTCCTACATCCTCCTTCAGGATCTAGCCTCATAAGTAGTCTTCACCCCTCAACAAGGAAACTTCTCTATGCCACAGAGACCACTACAGAAAACTTCAACCAATCAAAATGCAGAGCTATAGAGCCCAGTCCCAGTAGACACATCTACAAAGCACCTAAGGCTCAGGGAACATGGTGGAAGAAGGGGCAGAAAAAGCGTAAAAGCCAGAAGAGTTTGCTGCGAGGTTTTGTCTACTAGCAATGTCAGAAGCTACTAGAATATCTAAAGTATAGCTACACCACGTGCCTGCCCAAATGTGAGCTGAACAAGGCTACATCAGTAGCCTTGCCAAGCCAGATGTGGGGAGAAGCTCGCAAGATGTCAACCCTACAAAAAGAATGTATAGACAATTGAGGAAAGCTGGGAGTAGACAATGTGGCCTTTCCTGGGGAAAAAGGACACCAGTTTGGTTGTCTTCCCTGAAAACATACACACACAAGTAATATTATGCAGACTGAGTAGGTTACATTTAGAAATGTATACACATCTACAAATACATATATGCATGAAATTACAACTAATGAAAAAGGCCATGAAGGAGAGTGGGGAGGAGTGTATGGGAGAGTTTGGAGGAAAGGAAAAAATGTTGTAAATATACATATATTTTATAAAATCGCAAAGATTTAAAAAGAAAAAAGAAAAAGAAAGCATTTAAAATACAATAAAAACCAAAATAAAATCATCTTGAAGACATTTTTCTGTCAAGTTTTTTTTAAAAGTAGCATTCTAATGAATCCTTATTAAACTTCCTCTAGGGTAACTATGAATTTCTGTTAAATCTTTCAATTAAAAGTAAACAGTTGTAACAATTCAAAGAACCCAAAGTAATGTAAAGTAAAATTGAGCCTTCTCTGCCTACCCCCTTCTCCACCACAGAAACTTCCATGGCCTTCTCCACATACATATTCTCCTTTACATTGCTTTTAGAGAGTAAGAACTTCACAAAATATTTTTCATTGAATCTTTGAGGTCTATTTAAAAGGGGGGGAAAAGGCAGTATCTCCACCGTCTCTGAATCAGAGGCAGTAAAACTGACAGAAAACCTGGGTCCCTGGATGAGGCACCTCCATACAGCTTGCCCACAGGAGCCCCGCAACCCACTCACATCACCCCACTCGCGCCTCTAGCTAATGTTTGAGGATTCTCCTAATCCTTGGTATTGCGAAATCTTAAGGTATTAGAATAAACTTGCCAAAGACTCCATATCTAATCTGTTAACCACAGTCTTTAAAAAGAGCAAGGGTTAGGGAATTCCAGAGGAGGTCAGCTCCCTGCACTGCTGCCCTGGCAGCTTGGGTCTGGTTGGCTTTGGTAAGTATGCTCTGGAATGAGGCAGACAGACAGCAAAGAGCAGCTACAAGAGGGAAACAACCAGATCCTGTCTTTGGGGGACACAGCAACACTCACCGTGGGCCAGGCCCTTCAGGAATGCAGAGCTATACAGACCCAGGACAGGCCTGTCCTGCATGGAGGGGCCTGAGGTACAGGGCTTCACTTTCACACGGGAGACAGTATAGAACCCCTACAGCTGCAGACTAAAAGATTAGGCTGTCAACACTGATAGCTAACTCCATAAAAAATAAAAATAAAAAATAAATGGATAAAGCCACCAAGGGGGTTAAACAAATATATGTGGGCCAGGGGCCAGCCTATAGGTCACCTCTGGCCTTGGATATATATATATATATATATATATATATATATATATATATATATATATACACATATATACATATACACACACACACACACACACACACATATATGCAGTATCTATGGTTTCCAATGGCCTAGACTAAAATGTCAACTTCTGACTCAGCTCCTCTGACAACTTTATGTCCTTGGACAACTGGCTTAATTACCTCCCATCTTTGTTTCCTTGTCTGTAAAGTCAGTAATAACTGTTCCTCCCTCACAGCCTGGCTGCAAAAATTAACTTACAATGTGCCTGGAATGAGGCATGGAGGAAAAGCATTGAAAACTAACCCCCAGGGCCAACTTTGGATGCCCAACCATTCAGACCCCTCCATGGACAGCGAAACACCTGCCCCTTCTAAGCTCAATAGTGAAGAAGTCAGGCAATGAGGCTCTGAGGACAGCCTCTCTGAGGTCAAGGCTGACATAGAGACTCAAAAAGGGCAGACTGTTCTTACTCATGCTGCTAAGCCGCAAGGCTTGAGGGAAGATTATGTCTCCACTGCCAAGAAGCCTGAAGAGCGTCAGTCGGTGTGCCTAACACCTCAGACTTCAAAACTATGATGTAGTTTGCTACAGAAAATACTTTATCACCTAGAAAATTAAACTTGTAAAGAGGCACTTAGGAGTCTCTTCTCTGTCAACTGTGGGGTCCTTTAGGAAAATTTGTTCTTTGCCTACATAACCACTAGCTCCCCAATGAACAGCTCAGCATTAGGAGGAAGATGTTAACATAAGGGGACTCCGGGGACTCAGCAGCCCACTGTTCCAGCAGCAGCTAGCCCGTGTCCAGCTACAGAACAAGCCTGTCCTTGCCCATGCTCCACTTTCTCAACCAGCAGGGAAGGGATCAGCCCACTCCAGGACTTGCCCTGTGAGTACCTGTGGACAGCTAGACA